ATCCTAAACCACCATTAATCTCCTATGAATCAGCCCGGAGTTCCTCAAATTTTAAATCTAAGTTCTCAAGAATCCTAGCTTTCTGTCACTTCCCAAATTTTCGGCAGTTTTTGGGGCTTTTGAACCCAAGACTTCCATGAATTCATTGCCCTTAATAAGAGCAGTTGATTCATGGTTGTCTAAAGTTCATTCGTTCCCCCCCCCCCCCCCGAGAATTTGGGTCAAAATCCGAAGTCAGTCCAGTTTTATTGGAAGAATAAGGTTAGGTAAATTTCCTTCTCTTTTTTCTATTTGTTTTATCTTCTTTGCATGTTTAGTTGTTTCGATTTAGCCGCATAATTTTAGGATTTTTCTTCTTTCTAAAAAAACTGTTAATTGTTTGTTCATACCTTGACCATTAGATTAATCAGAGCATGCTAGGATTTCATTTCAATTTGCATAAGTTTAAGCCTAATTAGGGTTTTGATGAACCGATTATTCTGCTTTTGCTTTGTTTAAATGTTCCTCTCCCCTGTTTTGTAATTAGATTTCACGTGTTAATTGAGTTAACTAATCTGTTTTAATTCATATACATGATTATTTCAACTTCTAGGATTTCTTTATGGTTTTCTGATAAATGTTAGTTTGATTACTGTAGTTAATTAGATAAAAGCGGCCTTTTATTAGTAATTAGGTTAATTTTAGTTCAAATTGCATCAGCTCTTTTATTTTTATTTCTGTTGACATCGTTTGCATTTTTTGATTTGTTCTGATTGTGTATGCCATGATTTGTAAATCAATAAAAACTTATAGGGACCTAATTGAACTAAAAGAACTTAGGACAAAGCTGAAATATGCAGTAATTAGAAGGGTAAAAATGGACTTTTGTATAGTCTAATATCAGAACCTTCTAGACTTTTCACAGCTGTCCCTATCCTTAGCCTAAAATGCTGATATTGGATAAGGAAAAGAAAAGACATTTGTAAAAGATGTTGTACTATTCTGATTTTCAGAATTTTTTAGGTTAGAATATTCCTCTTTTGATGCTTTTTGTGCATTCTATAAAAGGAAACATTCCTTCATTCATTCATAGACAGATTCAGCATCATTTTCTGCACTCAAAAAAAAAAGTTCTGAAAAACCATATAGATACTAGTCTTTTCCTTTCTTCCTACTGGTTCTGAAAGATATCAAGATTAGATACAAAAACATTCAAAAAATGGGTTTCTTTTAGCTGTGGGTTTTGTCTGGAAATACTAGTTCTTTTAGCTGGGGTTTTGCTGGTTGAAACTGTGGGTTTTTTCTTGCTGATTTCTGGTCGAAACTTCTGAGTTAGCTTCTGTCTGTTTGCTGTGGATTTAAGCTCTGAATCAGCCTCGTTTATTGACCTTTATTTGGTCCTCTTTGTTGCTGTATTTTGGATCATTTCTAGGTATGTAATCACACCTTTGTTATGAAATGAATCTGTTTGCTCAAATCTGAGTTTCTTCTTTTCTATGTGTGTGTAACCATATGATTCAATGGTAGAAACTAGTGTGTGTTCAGTTTTTTCATCAGCTTTCAGTTTTTTCATCAGCTTTCTTATGTCTTATATGAACTTTAGTAGTATAAAAAAATGTTATTAAATCTGTCCTGATTCTCACAAACTATAAGGCTGATTGTAATAGTTTTATGCAAGCAAATGACCTTAAGGATGTGAATCTGACCACCAGTTGGTCAGATTCATCCCATAATAATGCATACTTTGTTGTTTTGCATTTGGTTACTTCAGAAATTAGTATAAGCATGGAAGGTGGTCTACCCTAAAGTAAAGTGGCAAATAGCTTTGGCCCGTTTGAAGCTGAGAGCAGTAGCAACTCAGAAATTTTCTCTTTTCTTTCTATTTTAATTTAGCTTAAGGTGTTGATGTAGTTTATATCAGTCACTTCTATTTTGTATCCTCTTTAATTCTGGAACTTGTAATGGACCGGACTTTTAAAAATTTATAGGTTATTAGGTGTAGCCATAATAGTTAAATCCTAAATGTAGACCAGTACATCATGCCTTTTTAAAACGCAATGTTTAGCTGCTGAGTATATTTAGTCTTTAATCACTACTGATTCCATGCAATTCTAAAAGTGACTGCTCATCCATGTTTTAAAAATTGTGTAGATTCAAATTTGGTCTTGTTATTATTAGATACATGTTAACAATTTAAGGCCTATCATGTTAGGCATTTTGTTTAAAGATCTATGCAAATGTTGGTATAAAGTTTGTTGTGATTTCAGTAGTTTTTTTTAGTTTTTAAAACTTGATCATTGAAACAATTGGGCCTGCTGATGGCCCAAATCATAACTCTTAGCCAAAATCGCACCCCTGTTGTTCAGTTTTCTCGTTTGGTCCTACGCCTGGGCCCAATTTTGGAGCCCAATTGGTGACATATCCACTCTCTTTTTTACGCCTGTTTAATAATATACTGGGCCCGCTATTGGCCCAGTTCTTTGTCCAAATTATCTTAGGCCGGTTTTACATTTCTTTACCCATAATTAATGGCTTAACTCCAAATTAGTTGTAAATAAGAATATCCTTAGGCCTAATTAAGTGTAATTCTTTTAAATGGTTTGAGGCGTGCCATCTTTCATTAAATCACTCATGGCCCTCTTATTAGTATTACAACTTAAAATTAAAATAATTCATGAACACCGTTAGTTTTCTTTCATTAAATCACCCATGGCCCTCTTATTAGTATTACAACTTAAAATTAAAATAATTCATGAACATTTACGTTAGCGTTGCTTTTGGACGCGATTAATTATTACAACTAACGGGTACGGCTCCCGTAACGTGGTTGTGATACTTAATTCTAAATTAGATTAAAATAGGAGCATCTTTAGTTTACCCTTTAAAAGATATATATATATATATATATATATATATATATATATATATATATATATATATATATATTATTATTATATATATATATATATATACCTTTTCTTAAAATAATTTGAGGTGTGCCATATGCAAATAAAATCCATAACCTATGGCTCTCACATTAATATTAACTTAGTTTATTTAAAAACTCGTAGTTTGCTTTAGGCGCGTTTATAATAAAGTCATCATAGCTACGGGTACGGTTCCCGTGACGTAGCTGTGGTACCTAATTCCCAAATTCGGGGTACATTTATGTGACCCAGCCACAACTTCTAATAACTTTAAATAAATTAAACATGTTGTAGATCGTGGGTACGGTTCCCGTGACACGATTCGCAATGTGTATCAAACAAATAAGTGTACGTCAATCGTAACTTGTTCCAGATTAATTCCATAAAAAACAACTAAAAGCGGTTATAAAAGCTAAAAATGCACAATAGGTTAAAACATGTAGTAAATCAGATAATAGGCCAATTATTAACAGTTTAAGCGACCGTGCTAGAACCACGGAATTCGAGAATGCCTAACACCTTCTCCCGGGTTAACGGAATTCCTTACTTAGAATTTCTGGTTCGCAGACTTTTAAATAAAAGTCGAAATTTTCTCGATTTGGGATTTTAAAATAAACCGATGACTTGGGACACCAAATAAATTATCCCAAGCGGCGACTCTGATTAAATAAATAAAATAATCTCATTTCGAATAATGTCACTTTTATTGGAAAAACTTCCATATACCCTCGGGTGTAAAAAGGGAGTGTGACAAAATATATTTTCTTAATTTATTTTAAACTTTGTCATAAATTTAAATATTCGCAAATACTTCTGAGAACAAGTATTTAATACTTATAAAAACTAAAATACTACGTACAACTTCTTGCATTTCAATTTATGAAGTATAGATCATTGGACACAGTTTTGAAATGGAATTTTTTTTTTGTAAATTGTAAAAGATTCAAGCATATCATAAGATTTATGTGATTATAAATGATACTATTATAGATAAAATAACCGATTTAATTGTTTTTTTAAGTATAGAAAGATGTCATCCTTATTAAAACAATAAAACAGACAAATAAGGAGGCATGAAAACATGAATACATAAATTTATTAACGCTCTTATTACTAAACTATAATTAATTAATATACATTCTTATATTATTTATTACGTGTGACTTAACCAACATATAGGGGTGTTCACGGTGGGTTTGGGTCAGTTTTTTCCTAAAAAGAAATCAAACCAAGTGAGCCAGTTTTTCAAATATTGGAACCAAACCAAATCAATTAAGTGGATTTTTTATCGATTCGGTTTTTGTTACTTTTTCTGTTATTTATCGGTTCTTTCTTAAATATGAGATATACAGTACCAAACACATATTACGACAACTATATTTTCAATATAACACTATCAAACCAATTGCTCTTTGAGAAATCTATCATTTACCAAGATATATTGATGATAACTGAACTAAATAGTGATGAATAATTTTAGAACTCAATAAAAATAAATTATTTTTGACATGAAATAAATTCGTGTACTTAGCAAAAGAAAACTACTAATCAAACAAATGTAAAGACAAAGAACTAGATTATTATAATAGCAATGAACTATACTAAAAGTGCAAAATATTAAAATGTAATATAAAATTTTGGAAATTTTGTGTATATATATATATATATATATATATATATATATATATATATATATATAGGTATAGTAATAAATTTAAATAGCTACTTCTGTATTCGGTTTGATTCGGTTTTTCGATTATTTTGTTTTATTAAAACCGAAATCAAACCAAATTTGATCGATTTTTAAAATTCAAAAGCAAAATCAAACCAAACCGAAAAAGTATCGATTTTTTTAGTCGGTTTTCGATTTGGTTCGATTTTTCGGATTTATATAAAAACCCCGACCAAAATTTATTAGAGTGATTTAGTGTAAATATCGAGTGAGAGAATAATATTTACTTTTATTTAATGATACTCCCGGCCCCTCCATCTTCTAAAGAGAACAGCCTAGTCAAACCTTCAGTCACTCATTAATCAATTTTTTTTTTTTTTTTTTTTTTTTTTTTTTTGAGAGTTAGCCACTCATTTATCATACTGTTTCTACCTACATAGTACTGCACAATCTTTAGACCGAAAACACAGAATCTAATCCATGGCCGTCCCCTACCCAATAATAAAGTTCACTTCTCACTTTCTATCTCCTCCATATTCCTTCCTCCTCCACTTCTTCTTTCCTTAACCCTCACTCCCCTATCTTTTCACTTTCCAATTATGGCAACTCTACAAAAATTCAAGCTATTAGCGACCCAATGTGCTGTAGCAGCAGGAAGCCCAACTCGAAGCCCAACAACTAGCCCAGTCATTCACCTCCGCCGCCGTAAAACTCTCCGAATGCTCCTCACCCGCAGCGGCAACGCCGGCAGCGACAGAGGAAGTGATCGACGGCTATTGTCCGAGGACGATGCGTCGCCGGATCGGATTTTCAGCGACGGAGATTCGCCGGATAAAAAGGAAGTTGTGGTGAGAAACAAGCTTAAGGATTTGTTCGTTTCGTCGCCGGAAAATTCGAGAGAGGGATTTTCACCGGAAATTTCTAGTGCCGGTGGTAGTATTGGATCGGCAGTTCGGAGAAGTCGGCCTTTGACGGCGACTTTCCGGCGACGGTTGCTTAGGAGGGTTTGGAGACCTATGCTTGTGAGTATACCTGAATAATTAAATTGGAATATATTGTATTAGCGCTAAATGCGCCGATTAGAGAATAAATAAAGTATGTTTTGAATCCTACTATTGATTTCAGTTCTTCAGAAAAAATTTAATTGCATTACTATCGTTTCAAATTAAAAATATAATCTGTTTGAGTCGATTTTATAGATGACAGAACATGGCTAGGATGAATTGAAGTTAATGTAAACTAATAGAAAAGGATTTAGATTATATAGATTTTTACACTATATTAATTTTAACCTGTATAATCCTTTATTACCTACTAAGTAATCTAATTGTATTGATTGCATCGTTTACACATGGAACTTAAACTCGAAAGAAAGTGTGAAAGTACGTAATGAAGATCATAAGAGATTACAGTTGAATTTCAACCCAAAAAAACACACACTAAGTTTTTTTTGTTATGTCCAAACTTTGGTTGGCAAATTATCAAGTTTATACTAGTAGGAGAAATAAGTATTCGATAGAGAAATCAAGCGCACCTAAGATGGCTAAAACAATGCTATCATAGATAAAAAAAGAGTAATATTATAGCATAGGCGGTGTCAGAATTTTAAGTTTATGTGTTCAGGGTCCTAATTCTTTTAAATTATTAATTTTTAAATTAATAATTTATACATATTGAATAAAAATTTTAAGACAAATACAGGATTTGATCCAAAGCTACTATGTTAGGCCGAGAGATTTATTACTTACCTTTCTCAGAAAAAAGGTCTCAAATGACAAAGGTTGATAGACATGGTCCGGGCAATACATCATTTTTATAAATTTCTTCAACTCTCACTACTAAAAATTCGGGAAAAACCGTCCAACAAAAATCGATCAAAGTAGGTCGGTAATGACCAATAACTGTCCAAAACGCGACCATTAACGTTTGGTCGGTATTTTGAAGGTCGAAAGGGCATACTGACCAAAGTTGGTCGGTCAATTAACTTTAAAAAAAAATTGCTAAAAAAACCGACCAAAGTTGGTCAGTATTTTTTCGACCAAAGTTGGTCGGTATTTTAATTATGTAATTAAAAAATACACCATCTAGGAATCGAACTAGGGTCTGTTAGGGCTGTGCATAATTTGGTAAATACCGAATTACCGTACCGAAACCGAAAATTTTGGTATTTGGTATTCGATGTTTTGATATTCGGTATGGTATTTGGTTTAAGTTTTAAAAAAAATATGGTATTAGGTATGGTATTTGATATTTTTTAATGAAATACCGAAATACCGATACCGTACCGAAATATATATTATATTACATTACACAATACACATATTATTAATTATAACATAAATATAAAAAATCGAAATTTTACTTTCCTTTATTCTCTAAGTTCATCAATTAACTCTAAGCAAGTAAGAAGATATTTCTAATGATCGAATTTATTCCTTTATGTGCAGTTTTCTCTCTCTTGTTGATATTTGCTGGTTTTGGACGAAATTTTTGTCAACAAATATTTTCTGTTTTGTACTTTTGAGTATTTTAATTATGAATTTTATAGTCTATGACTGTATGCACTTGTTAGTATTCAAACCGAATAAATCGAAGTTACCGAATCGAATAAACCGAAACCGAAAAGAGAAAAATCGAACCATACCGAGTTTAATTAGGTACGGTATTGGTATAGCATTTTAAGAAATCGAATACCGAAAATACCGAACCGAAATATCTAAATACCGTACCGTACCGGCCGACGAACACCCCTAGGGTCTGTACTGTGACAAGATACTTTTCTACTACTAGACCATTGGTGCATTTTGTTTTAAGACTGTCTTTATTTCATTTATACTCTTTAATTGTATTTTCACACGAAAAGAATCGATCAATGTCGGTCGGTTTTATTAAAACATAAAATTACCAACCGAATTCAGTCGATTTTTTAAAATGACCGGCCGAATTAACTGACGATTTCGGTCGGTTTTTTTAATATTAATTTTAATTTATTTAAAATAAAAAACTGACCAAAGTTGGTCGGTTTCTTGAAAGATAAATTTCACGGGACTCAAAAAAGTTTTCCGCATTTTTGCGCCAAAGAAAACTGATAATAGGTGAATTTGACTATAATCACACCTTAAATAATCACCTTCTTGTGTAGTTTTAATGCTAAAAGTGATGACAAAATGCTCTTATTAGTGCTTTTCATGATTTGTAGGTGATATATGTATAAAGACGGCTAAGGAGCAGTTTTGGAGTCAAAAGTGATGAAAAAGAGGCCAACTGTGAAATTTCCTAAGTGACCCGTGCAAAAACAAGCCGAAGATTCAGAGAACTGGATCCACCGCGGTTTCACCACGACCGCGGCAGAACCGCGGTGGGAAGCAGCTGCAGAAGTTGTGAGAATCCGCGAGGGTGTTTGGCCGCGGTTCTACCGCGACCACGGCAGAACCGCGGCAGGCACAGTAAAACTTCAGGGACCAAAATGTCAATTACGGGATTTTTTAGACCTAAACCCTATTTAAAACATTAGACTTCGCCCAAGAGAGGCATGTATTGATTTTTAGGTTTCTTAACAAGGAAAACAATTGTGAGAAAGTACTCAAAACATCTTTCTTCTTTTCTTTTGATTTTTATGATGAATTCAAGCTTAGTTTATTTTCCCATAGCCATGAGTAGCTAAATTCCTTGTCTAAGGCTTTGATGGAACCTATTGGGTGATGAACTTCTTGTTTATGTGAATACAAATTGCTAGTTTAATCTTTATTTGTTCAACTTCGTGTTCGTTGTAGTTAATTGACAGGATCCTCAATTAGCTGTGCCTATTTAGTGTGCATAACTTGGAAAAGAGTGCATATTTAGGGTATTGTTGAACAATACCACTCCTAGATTATTAGAGGAATCTATAATTGCGGGTTTAAAGGCGGGATTAGGAATAACGAAGCCTTGGGTGCAATCTAAATTGAATTGTGCTAAATAAAGTAAGCTAGTGTATCTCGGGAGAGTGCAATAGTAAATTACTGTGATTACTCGGGAGAGATTTACGGTAAGATTAGCGTTCATGATTGATAGAGATGTGTGGGTAAATTTGTATGAGCATAAACAGAAGGGATTCCATCAATAGGGGAAATCATTGCCTTAGCATTTTTCTCATAATTGTTTACAACCTTATTAGTTTAGTTTACAGCTATTTAGTTACTTGCAAGCTAGTTGTTAAAGAACACTCAACTGAGATTTGAATATTTGGGAAGCTGGTTCTGAAGACTTAGTGGGTCTGAAGATAGCAGTTGATAGGTTAACTCTCTGTGGATTCGACCTTGGGCGTAATACTCGGGTTATATTTGCAACGTCCGCAGAGTCCTTTTTATAAGGCATAGTTGGGCGTGATCAAATTTTGGCGCCGTTGCCGGGGAGTTAACGGAATTATCAATTGCCATTGACAGAAATACAAAGATTCTTGTTGTAGTCAGTTTTCTCTCTACCAATTTTTTCATTGAAAATTTGACGGTTGTTGATCTGGGTGCACAGGTGCATGCCTAGAAATTCTACGAGGACTGGAGAACTGCTTGAAGGACTCTCTGACCCCGAGAAGACATTCCGGGCATTGAATCGGGCAAACAAAAGACTTCAACAATCACAACAAATACACCAACTCGAAATTGACATGGGCGACATAAATGACCCCAACGTGAACGTCAGGAATGAGCAACTGGCACCTCCTGTGCCTGAGGGTGCACTTTATGACTGGGCACAACCCACAGCTGACAATCTGGCCACTGCTATTATTGTGCCTGCAATACAAGCTGAATCGTTCCAGATCACAAATAACATGCTACACTTGTTGCAGAACAAGGGACTTTTTTCTGGGACACAAACAGAAGACCCGCAGCAACACTTAAAGAACTTCCTGTCTATTTGCAAAACTCAAAGGCAACCGAACGTGACTCCGGAAGCAATCAGATTATTATTGTTTCCATTCTCGGTGACAGGAGCTGCTCAGGTTTGGCTAAACTCGCTTCCCATAAACTCTATAGCAACTTGGGATGAGTTGGTCAAGCAATTTCACAACAAGTTCCATCCTCCTAACAAGACCGCTCAACAAATTGATGAGATTGTGAGTTTCAAACAGAAACCAATGGAGACACTACACGAGACATGGGGCAGATTTAAAGGAATGTTGGTTATGTGTCCCCACCATGGTGTTCCAGAGCAGATGTTGGGACAACGGTTTTACATGGGATTGTCGGACAGCTTGAAGAATATAGTTGATGCCTCGGCTGGTGGAGCATTCTTGAGCAAGACTTGGAGAGAAGGTCAGAATTTGCTCGACAAGATGGCGCAGAATTCGGGTTGGACTTCTAGAAATGCACCTATCACTCCAGTGGTGCACTCAGTGCCTCTTGATCCTTCTAATACAATGGCTGAAAACATGGCGACTCTTCTGACGCAAATGAGCATCCTCACCAAAAAGGTGGAGGAATCAGGGCAGAAGCAACGGGTTCACATAGTAGACACTACCAACGGGGGCTTGTGCACATCTTGCATTAGCCAGCCAATTGGTAATCCATGGAATACAGAGCATGATCATCATCACCAGCACCCTGAAGATATGAACTATGTGGCTAACTATGGGGGTCAGAGGCAAGGTAATCAGAACTGGGGTCAGCAGACTCATCAGCAGTACAGGCCACCGCAGCCACAGTATAACGCAGGAAACACGGGAGGCATAAGACCCCCCAACAATATGGCACCGTATCCTAGACCACAAGGGTACAACAATCAGCAGCAAGGGTACCACCCACCTCAGCAACAACAGGGTGGAAGACAGGAAGACGGGTTTGCAAGGCTTGAAGCAATGATGCAGCAGGTTATTGGGTCCAATGCTCAAATAAATGAAAGGGTGGATGCACATGATGCAGCTATCAAGAATATTGAGGTACAAGTGGGCCAGATTTCAATGTCACTTAACAATCGTCCTCAAGGGACATCACCTGCAGATACCCAAATCAATCCAAAAGATCAAGGCCCAAAGCAGCTGATGGCGGTGAGTCTACGAAATGGTAGGGATCTAGATGTTGAGCAAGAGAGACCTAGAGAAAACATACAGGCTGAGACACTAATTCCAGTGCCC